ATCAGACATCGATCATTTGACGTCGTCCCTAAGTCTACAAGGATACCCAACAGTAAACCCCTTCAGCAGTAGAGAAAGAGGTTTTTCTGAACATAAACTGACCTCAATGGCACGAGCATGACCTTTTGTTTGGCAGTGTTCACCGAATCCTGTGGTAGAATCCATTACGTACTCATCACATAGTATGCACAGAAAACAAGGCTGGATAAATTCTTCACCTTAATTTTAAAGAGAAAAAACAAATTATTATCTTGCTGTCAAGACATACATTTGTAACCAGCATGATAGTGAAACTACATTGCAGTAATGGATACATAAAAAAGAGTGAAGCGATCTGACTTTAAATATCAACATGTTAGACAATACAACATATACTACATATTATTGCATTATAAGTCACTGATAGGTCAACTCAGTTAGCCAAAAGACTTGGTCTTAGTAGTCCAACACATAACAAGGTGACCCACCAACTCTCTTGTGCTCCACTAAGATTAACATCCTACCTGAAGCGGTTTCCATAAGACCTTTATCTGTTTCATCGTTTTCATCACCAGTCAAATAATCAAACTCATCATCAGAAGAACCTGCTTTTTCCTCATTTTCATCACCATGGAGACCAATATTGTCATCCTCACCAGCATCATTTGTACAAGTTTTGTCATTGTCTCCAACGTCAGTTGTACTAGAGTTGTCCTCATTTTCCCCAGCATCAGTTGTACCAGGCTTGTCATCGTTGTCCTTAACATCGGCAGTAGAACCATTTTTTTTCTCTGTGTCACTGACATTAGTTTTGTCCTCAGTGTCACCATCATTGACAGAACCATTTTTTGTTACTTCTTTGTCAACGACATCAGTGGTTGGAGTTTTGTTGCCTTTGTTACTGATATCTGTAGTACAGACTTTTGGTCCCTTTACATCAGCTTCAATGACATCTGTTTTGTCTGCTTGATCAACTTCAATTGTACCATTTTTATCTTTCTTGTCAACATTAATGGTGTTGTTTTTGTCACCTTTTTCAGCACACTTTTCAGTTTCCTTATCTTGAGCAACATCAATGGTACCATTTTTTATTGGATGCTCCTTAATGGTATCACTTTTGTTTTCCTCATTGATATTATCTTTCGCTGCACTAAGAGAAGTGTCACCAGTTTTGTCTGATTTCCCCACACCAGTGTTGTCCGATTCCTCCACACCAGTATCAGTGACATCAGTCTTCTCTGATTTCCCCACACCAGTAACAGTGACGTCAGTTTTGTTCGATTTCTCCACACCAGTCTTGTCTGATTTCTCCACACCAGTCTCAGTGACACTAGTCTTGTCCAATTTCTCCACACCAGTCTCAGTGACACTAGTCTTGTCCGATTTCTCCACACCAGTCTCAGTGACACTAGTCTTGTCCGATTTCTCCACACCAGTCTCAGTGACATCAGTTTTATCCAATTTCTCCACACCAGTCTCAGTGATACTAGTCTTATCCAATTTCTCCACACCAGTCTCAGTGACACTAGTCTTATCCAATTTCTCCACACCAGTCTCAGTGACACTAGTCTTGTCCAATTTCTCCACACAAGCATCAGTATCACAATTCTTGTCTGATTTCTTTTCTCCAGTGTCTATTATCTGACGCTTGTCCTCATCAATATTCTCCACTGCTGTCTTGTCATCCTTCTGTGTTGTATTGACATCAGATTTATCTTCTAATATTTCATCACCAGTTTCCATAGCAACTGCAGAATTATTGGATGTCTTGGAATCTGTTGGATCAGCCTTCTTGGATGCTATCTGTAACTAAGGAACAAAATTCATTGATTCATAATAATAATATATTCATGACAATGATACCTTTACGCATCAATTGCAATAACCTCATATTCTACTTTCTGTACTCCAATGCTAGAGAGGAACCCCATCATAGTACAGAGGGTCCCATTTGTAATAAAGATACATTTAATATATTGTCAATTCTTCTTTGGGATTACTACAAAA